AGGTGGATCTCCTGGTTATAGATTGGAGTAGCCTACTTCTATCTATTTTTTGTTTTTATTATTTAAGTTTTTTCATGTTGGATTGCTGATAATGAGGATAATGAAAATGACAAGTACCACTATGCTGCAGGTCAAAGCTGATGGAGACACACTTTGTTTGTGCACTCAAAGGAGATTATGGTACTGAAGTTATAACTCTAAACCGGTGCGAAATTATTAATGATGTTCAGAAATCTTTCATTTTAAATCTAGTACGCTGTATGTCTCAACATTTGTACTATTATTTTTTGTGCTGGTCTTTTATTCTGATTATTATGACTTAAGGTGTTTGAAAATGTTCTTAATTGGTTTGATTATTGTAACGGGGGAGTGTGGTGTGGAAATTTTCTTTTTAAAAATTTTCCCACGGATTTTGTTTAAGTAGTTGGAGTCAGGGGAGATTCACAATCTAGTTCTGCTCCAATGCAAGCTGAGGGGGAATGCTGATAAGAGACTGGTTTAGGCTGGACACAGCCTACTTCCTCCCCCACCCTCTGTGACATGTAGAATTGTCAGCACACCTTACTTCCTCTCTGAGAGTAGGAGCCGTCAAAAGCTTTATGCCTTGTAAGCACAAATGACAATCTGCCCAAGCGCTCAAGGTCTGATCTTCTCGCCTGCAAAGGATTTATCTGCTTGTCACTCACTGCTGCCAAGGCTTTGTGCAACCTTTTTGCTGAGCTTTAGCTATGCAGTTCTTTTTTTCCCCTCTTCCTCTCTCATGGACAATCGCAGTGTACGGGAACTGAAATCATTCATGTGGGGTGGAACTATGGTCTGACCATAGATATATATGAAATGGTGCCAACAAGTTCTGCACATTAGACTCCCCAAAAGTATTCCCACAATCAAGTGCATCAGTGTAAACTGTGAGCCTTTGCAGATGTTGGCAGAAGAGTTCTTATTTGCTTTGTTGGATTGATATTTGAACATACTCAGGCTTAGATTTCCACACCCATGGGTAGGTATGGCTGAATATTTAAATGTAGTGTAAAACAGTTGGAGTTGAAAGACTTAAAAGGGTGCTCTATAAGTGCAGGAGATTTACCAACAACCAAACTGTCACACTAAAGCTGTTAATCAATGTTGCTGTGACTTAAGATAAACACTTTATTTTCAAAGATAAGGGAAACTAAGCTACTGACTTCATATATTGTGAACCACATAAATAAATAGCTGCAAAGGGTTAGGGTTAGTATTAACTGCTCTATTGTTATCCAGAAGCCAGAATGGTATCAAAGAAGGGTTGGTAATTTTAAATATCGTGCATTATGTCTAATATAAACATAAGACCATTAAATAGTTTCTAGAGCAACCATGACCTATCTGCATCTAATTTAATGGAAAGTGTTTTACTTAATGATTTGATTGAATTGCCTTGAGATGATGTGTGGTGAATTGGGACTACATTAATAAACTACATTTAAATGAATTTAATGACTTGCTTTATTATTAAAAACTACTCTGGATCCAGGACAGGTAACCTGAACTAGATATTAAACAGCCAAAATCTTTAGCCCAAGGTCATCTTAGGAAACAGATTTTAGGTTATTACCATCAGAACTTTATGGTAGAATTCTTTCTTAGAAAGAACAATCAAGAACTCCACTTTGATCTGGCCTAGCCTTCAGGGAAGGCTTTTAATGAAAGTGTCTTTCAAACCAAATCAC